CAAGGTGAAAGGTCCTGCCAGGGAATCACACAGCATATTATATTTTTGTCTATGCAACGAAATAAAAGAAACCCCCTTTTAAGAGTCTTCCTCATGGTAAAGTATGCTCTTATGCCACCATAATGCACTGCCTTGCTCACAAGCTCCTGCTAGACACGTGACCAGAGCACAGACACACACTAGCAAGAACGTATTATTTACTTCATTTAAAAGGAAATGGGACATGTTGGGGACACAGGGCAATATGTCTCTTCACCAGTCTAGCAGTGTACACTCAATGCTTACTAAACCTGAAACGTCAGTTTGGACTTATTTTTTAAATAATTACTACAAATGTAATAGAAAAAGTCAATCAGTAGTTGATTTTTTCCCCCTTCTTGGAATCCACCTGCATGGGAGTGGGGTGGGGATAAAGTTAACAGATCAGGGAAATGAGTGTGTCTGCTGTCCTCACTTTAATTTAAGGCTACCTTGTTGCATGTAATACCCATATAACAATAACACAGTAATTTCTCTCACCCATGCTGTAATTTCTCCTTTAATAATAATATGGCAGCTGCCACCTACCTGTAGTGATTCCTGATCCAGTGCTGCTTCTTCTCCAAACTTGTAAGGCCCACTCCCAAGGACATCCTTAGCAGATGGGTCCTAAATCATCCAGCCATGAAGCCTTCCTTGGAGTCCATTCAAGCAGTGTGATTTGCTCTGATGTCTGTTCCTGGGACTTCATCCCCTCTACCATAGTGGGTCTCTCTTCCTTGCAGTACTCACATAAAAAAATGAAGGCATTGGTGTGCTTCTTGGGCCAGCTGGTAGTAAACTAGGATGCCATATTCTAAGGTGACTTGGCTAAGCAAGCAGAAAATGGAGCAGGCAGAGTGGAATGAAAGCCTAAATGTTGACTAGATGTATATGAACTGGTATAAAACTTCTAGAACATAGGAGGCAAGATGGAAGTTGAACCAATAGAAATGTCAGAGCATACAGGCTCAGGGAATTGTGGGATGGCATTCCAAAAAATTATCAAAAGATGATCTCAGCTATCATGGCTTTAGCAGCATCCTTGAAAAGTGAGTATTGGAACCTGCCTTAAAGTGGAAAAGGCTTTAATCCATACCTGCGCTGTGCAAGAAGGCTTGGATTCTTGCGCATAGGCTGGGACATACTGGTTTTATGTGAGGGTGGTTGGGGGATCAGGCTAAAACATGGTTAAGAACCTAGGGGAAGCATGCAGTGTGGATGTACCTTCTGCAAGGCTTCAGCAGTGCTCAGAAACTTCTTGAGAAGTAGTACAGGATTTATCAGCTTCCAGGCAAAACCTTGTAGATAAATCACTTGCATTCAAGAACCCTGCAAGCTGAAAATCTTCTGTGGTACGTTCTGTATTCTGCTGGACCAGCCGGAGGAAATGCTACAAAGACCTGTTGAAGGCCCACCTCAAGAAGATAGATGCCAACCTCAAGAGGTGGGAGGAGTGGCTGCTAAATGACTCCAATGGCGCAACAACTCTAATCAAGTGGCAGACTGCTTCGCAGTCAAGTGTTGTTTTGCCCTCAAAGCAGAGAAGAGAAGGCAGAGGAAGGAAAAGGAGACAAATCCCTGCCGACAGCTTACTCTCCCCTGCAGACAGATCTGTGACTCAAGGATTAGACTCTTAAGCCACCTGAAGACACATCAATGAGCCATGGTAGAGACTGTCCTCGAATTGAGAGACTGCCAGTGGCAACAGAGCTCAAACAGCCAAGCTGAAGGGGCTCACAAATCCAGCAAGCTGTCTCAGCCTGAGAAGTCAGTGGGATCTGGTGGTTAAACAACAATGTAATAGGAGTTTACAGGATCTGTAAGCACAGATAGGTGAACACTCGCGTTTAAGTGAATTAAAAATTCTGCACGCCCAACCCAGGTCAATCCTGTCTCACTGTACACATTGTTTCTGCTGTTAGATAAATTTCCCATTCTATAGTACATAGCATCAAAGTGACCATGACGGGGTATAAAAGATAGTTTCCACTATGCAGGGTAGTACCAGAGTTCACACTACAAAGCTCTCACAACCTGACCTCCAGTGCTGGGCTGTAGTGCAGATTACCACATCCTGCAGGTAGAATTAGGGAAAAAGACTGTAAGGCAAGAGGCTTCATGAAGTCCCTTCTCAAAGTCCTGCTCACCCTACTTTCTAGTGTTTTAGGCTCTGCTAAGTTACTTTGGGGAAAGTCCCACCCCAGCAGCTCCTTTCAATGTACATAGAAGAGATCCCAGACAACATACATGATGGATTTTTTTTTTTGCCTCCATACTGCTTGGCTGGCTAGAATTTATGCCTCTGTACTGCTTGGCTCAACCTCTGCCATTTGGTAATAATGTTCCACTAGGAGCATTCCTTTGACTGGCCGCGTCTGCCTGCAGCCTACTTAGCAGCAGCAGCAGCTGTGAAAGTTAATGCTGCTTCAAGCAACTTACTGATGGTATTTTTATTTCCCTCCTGACCATAGCCTTGCATATTTTGCGAAAAGATTAATGTTTGCAAAAGCACCCCCCCCCCCCC